TCCACTCTGCACTCCCCCTCATTCACAAGGATATGATTTTTTGTTTTGGTTCTTTGATGCCTGATACCTGATCCCATGGACACCTCATGATCCCACGGGCTGGTGTGCGTATAGCAAGCTTATGAATAACAGACTGACACACAGCCCTAGTCCTGAGCTGTCCTTTTAGTCATTACGGTAGTTGGACCCCTTGTTATACCCACTTTGTCAATCCACTGACCACCTCTACTTTATCAAGGGACTTGTTTCCCATGGACTGGTCCCCTGATAACATACCCAAAGTACGTGAGATGAAGTCTCATCACCCTCACTTCTCAGGAGCATTCTGGCTGTACTTCTTCCAAGACAGATTTGTTTGTTCTTCAAGCAGCCTGTGGTGATATTCAATGTTCATTGCCAACACCATAATTCAAAGGTATAAGTGATTCTTCGGCCTTCACTATTCATTGGCTATCTTTTGTATGTCTATGCACATTAGTCCTCAAAGTGACATTTTTGCACTTTCATACTTTAAAGGTCTTTTGCAGCAGGTTTGCTGAATGCTGCACATTGTTTGATTTCTTTTAGTGCTTCCATGGGGATGTGGGTTGTGGGTTCAAGTAAAATAAAACCCTTGACAGCTGCAGTCTTTTTTTCCCTTTCTGTTTACCATGATACTGCACATGGTCCAGCTGTAAAGATTTTTTTATACTGAAGTATAATCTATAATGGTAAAGTTCAATGATCAAGATTACTATTAAAGTCCACTGTACACCCTAAATAAAAAAGTTCAAAGTGCTAGAAGTGAAACGGATAGAAGGTAAAACAGCTATAGACAACACACGACATAGCTCCACATCCCTCTTTCAGGACTTGATAGCAAAAGTACCCCCCCCCCCAAAAGAGCCAGTAAAAATATTCAAAATGTGAATGCTATCCACCTACGTCATGTTGGGCATTACAGGACATTCCATTCAAGGATCACAGAGCAATCTTCTCAAACGTACACAGAATATTTACCAACATAGGCCACTTTCTGGAAACCCTGGACAATGTCAATTGACAGATAGCATATAAAGTATATTCTCCCATCACAACAGAATTAAAATGGGAATCCCCAGTCAATGGATATCTGAAAAATCCAAAATATTTAGAAACTGAATATATTGTTAAGGATCCCATAGGTCCATAAATAAATCATGGTGGAAACTAGAAATGATTTTGAGCTGAACCAAAATGACAACACACTGTATCAAACTGACCTCAACTTTTAACTGAAGAAACAAGAAAGAAGAGCAAGTTATTCAAAGGACCTACAAGAGCGAAATGGAAGTCAATGAGAGAGCAGACAGGGAAAGAGTCCAGGGAACCAAAAGCTAGCTCTTGGAGAAGAATAGAGATCATTTCCCAACGTTTCCTGAGACCAGCATCCTTCTGCTCCCCGAGTCAGAAATGACATTATAAGAACCAAAAACTACAGACCAACATCCCACACAACACAGCTGAAACAATTTAAAGATTATATAAATATACGTAAATAGATATCTACGTATTGATGGATCTGCAAAGTCAATATTGCTAAAAAAGTAGATCTTCTTAAATGTTTCCAAAATTCCATCCCAATGCAAGGCCAATCAGAATTGCAGTAGGCTTTCACCCCAGTAACAGACAAACTGATTCTAAAATTTCTGTGGAAACTCAAAGGCCCTAAGATGAACAAAATAACTTTGAAAAGAAAAAGTCAAGGAATTTACAGTGTCTAATTTCAAGACTTACTATATGACTGCTGTAATCTAGACAGTG